TAAACATAGGTAATTTAATCATCGCTGATCTTGAAATAAGCCAATTTCACTAATATATAATTAGAAAATATTTATTTCAATACAATATATTTATTTTTTAAGCTAGTAAAAACTTTTATAATTATTAAACTATTGTTTATATTAGTTTATCTTAATAAAACGATGTTATTGGATTGCACAATAGATTATAATCTTAGAAATTAAATTTATCGTTTGTATACATACAATGAGTGAAACAAATGGAAAAGTTTACTGGACTACAAAGTCATAAATTACAAATTAGAATTTTGGTTTCTTTAATTCATCGATCGATGTCAACAGAAACTTTGAGCTCTTTGTATTTCGATGGGTTTAGTAGAAAAGAATTAACGATGTTAGGATACATGCCTCTTTGTCATTGATTTCGAATTAATAGGTTATACACAATGCATACACACTTACATATACACACATACACACCTCCATATACGCCCTTTTGCGGGTTTAGAGTTTCGACGGGTTGCCGTGGCACAAAACGGTGTTAACAACACAATTGGCCAAGTTTGGCCATTTGAACTTTTCACGATAGATAGTTTTGACTAAAACGAACGCATTGGTGGAGGTAGTGGTGGTGAAACACCGTCAGAAATTCTTTGAGCAACAATATCTTGCACGTATCGGATATAATAATACATTTTGGATACAAATATAGATTTACATTGTCACCGTTTAATAATATATTAAATATAGTTAAATGATATATTTCACTATAATATGTTTCGTTAAATGTAAGTTCATACCATATGTTCGTACATCGACGATTCAGGAATAAGCAGGTTCATATAACAATAATAATACATTAATAAATTAAATAACTTGATGAGTAAAAAATGATTTACAAAAATAATATATTATTTTAAATGCTATAACAAGTATAAAAACCAGTATTATTTTTATTAATAAGTTCATCTTATTATTTGATAATTTTTAATATAATTATATTTGACTTCAGAAATCTTTGAAAAACGTGAGATAAGTTATTACAAATACAAATTGAAAAAAAATTAAATCATATAAATAGAGTACATACGTAATTATAACTGATAATTGATAAGAAAAAATGTACTCGTATTCTTATTCTTAGAAGATAGTACCCTAGCTAATTGGCTGACTGAATGAATTTACGGATGGATTCGCATGACATGCAATTGGAGAAGCATCTAGGAATGTGAAATAGTACTTTAAGTAAGTTGGATGAGAAGGAACTCTAAAATTAATTAATTATAAAAGGGTTAATGAATCGGTTGCTCTAGATAATAGACTACTTTAGAATTTTTGGTTAGCATTAAGTCGGTGGTTAGCCAGTGAAAGAAAATTAAGTTAGTTGGCGATAGATTGTAATCAGAATGAGAACGCTGATTGGTTTTAGATTAAAACAACAGTTTATCTTTATTGAAAATATATGTGATGTTGATGACATTCAATTATACACAAGATTTTATTTTATATCACCGATTTGATTCACAATTAAAAAAACATAAAACAAGGAACGGATGAATAGTAAAATTTATAATATTGAATAACTCAAAATTGCATGGTTTCCTTTTTTCCCAAACCTCGAGATCAGTTATATCGATTGCCGATGGTTTCGCGGTGATCACGGCTCTCCTAGGTGATATATCCCGAATGATTGGGACGATGAGTTGACACGTTGTAATATCGCTGTGGGCCGCGTTCTGATAAACTTCGAGTCTGTCAACTGATCAGCGTCGTGGCCAACAACGGAGAGTTCCCGTGGAAAACAAAGGTAGTCGCGGTAAGGTCTGTTGCGAGAAGACGTCACTCTTGTTTCTATTACTTTTATGGTGTGATGTGCGTAAACAGATGCTATAATTAAATAGAGTGACTAGAAGGACATGTTTAAAAAATACGTTCAGTATGCCGAATAGCTAGAAGTGTGACAGTATGATATGGGTTAAYATATCGTGAAAATTATAAGCATATAGGTATAGTTAACTTAAAATCAAAAAATTAATTGGAAACACGGTGAAATCTCGTAATAATTGATCTGATCTAATGTTTGCAAAAACATCTCGGATGATGGAAAATACGAGTAAGATCTTGCTGTTTCGCCAGTGAATACTGGGAAGGTTATGAGTTCTGCTTACTTTACTTTGCTTTTGAAAGGGATGGCTTTGACGTCAACTATACCAGGCTTGCATATCTACTAGTGGATGAAAGTTCAAAGGTGGTTATTGTTTGTTTATTGGTTTACCTATTTGCATTGGTATGGTTTAATTAATTGTATGGTAATTGGAAAGGGGCGGGTATTGCCTAGTAGTCGGATATGGTCATGGTCTGAGAAGGAGCTTTTATAGAACATTAATTTTGATTGGGATTGAATAGAGGTTTGGGTGGAGTTTTTGACAAAAGTGGTCATACTCGTTTTTGTACGTATATCTATGGTTTAAACGAATTCGATACGCCTCCTATGTAAAAGACTGATGAAAAAGGCCCAAGAAGAGCCATCGTGAGTAAGAACGGGAGATACTTAGAGTTTGAGTATGTACATTTTGAAGTCAATAGGAAGGGGTAAGTACGGTTAAGTATGGGGTAGGGTATACCACGAGTGCGGGTTGCCTTGTTTATGTTATTTTGGACATTTTGTCCGAAGGTGAGTTTGTGCCTTATTGTAACGACGAGATATTTAGCTTGTTTGGCCCAGTTTACAGTGTTATTGTCAAGTAGGTAGTAGTGGTGGCATATGTATAGTTTTAGAGCTACCATGTAGGAACAGTTAGTTGGGTTTATATATTTTATACGTCAACCAAGTGATCGCCAGGTTAAGTGAGTGTTGTAGTTAAACGGTCGTACGTTTAAAATGTTTGTCTAAAAACATTGTATAGTTAGCGAACAGTGAAAATTCTGCTTTAGAAGTCATCGGTATGTCGTTGATGTAAACCAAGTAAAGTGTTGAGGAAGGCAGGATCCTTGAGGGGACTCTGCGAGGCTCTTTCTGGTGAACGAGAATGAATCATCGATTTTAATGATGAAAGTGCAGTCAGTAAAAATAGATTCGATGATTTTAACGATTTTAGTCGGAATGTTAAAAGTTCAACTTGGACGTTATTAGATATTCACAGAAAAATTAACTGTTTTAGTTAACTTACTGTAATCTAAAAATATATCTATATTGTGGACTAAAGATACAATAGAAAAAATTGAACTCATTACCAATTATATTAAACAATTTATTAAGTTGGGGAATATAATTATTGTTTATAAGATATATTACTGTATTATATTTAAGCATATTATAACAGTTAAATTTCTTGTAGCGCCAAGGATGTTAAAATTGTATATCCTATGGAATAACCTGGCTATTACTAAACCAGATCAAGGGCACAACCTTCAGATGAGAAATTCCTAACCTAAATTGAAAAGACGAAACCACTATAAATCACCTAAGAATTTGGATAATTCACATACTTCTCTTGTTAAAAGATGAATAATCCATGGACAGATTTGAAGAAAAAAACCCTTATAAAAACACATCTTTGGAAAACTACTTCTAAGGTAGAGGAATCTAAGAGAGTTGTTTATTGATTGTATAATTCATCTGTAAAATGAGTTATAATATGGAATTTACACATAAACTATATAAATATCTAATAGCTATTAAATTTATAATTCATCTAAATATTTTGAAAATTGTATTGAGTATGTAAAATAACCTAATATTAAAAATTACAAACTATACATTATTATACCTACATAACTATAATATATTGTTGTTGAAGTTGAACATTTAAGAATAATATKCATGCTTCAAAAAATTTAAAGGTCATGTTAAAAAATTACAAAAGAATTACAAACATAAAAAGGAAACACAGAACATTATTAATTATTACCTATTTATGACAACTTTGAAAACGTGTCTGTTATTAAAATAATTAAACATTTTGATTAGAATTTTTAGATGATGATCTCATAAATTGTTAGACATATCTTATAAAAAAATCGTAAATTTATGTATCTAAATTAAAAAAGTGGGTAAGTTGTATTTGTCGCTCTGCTGTGTAGTAGGTTACAAATGGGTTACTGTAATGGATGGAATAAAATTTGAATCCAATGATATTATATCATTGTATACGAAAAACGATTCTGAGTGGAGACGGTTTATCTGTCTAAGATATATTATAGATTATTAAGAAACATTTTATGAATTTCTAGCATATAATAATTTGCGAATTTGCGTGATTTTTACGTATGTTGTCAAAATTTGAATGCTTATAAAAAAAAAAAAAAAATGGTAACTATATATTTCTTTTATTTTTCAACTGCTGTTGTAAAAATATATTAGGGGCCTTGTATTAAATTTTCAAATCTTGGATATAAAAAGAAAAACTTTTATGAATTTCTATCTAACATTCGGTGAAAATTTCATGTATCAATGATCATTTATTTTGAAGTTACATCAAAAACCAAAATAGATTGTGTCGAAAACTGATTGTGCATAAAATTTCCCGTTTTCCCCTTAATATTTAGTTTGTTTATCCTGATTATATTTAGAAAAATATTGAGAACTTTTTACTTTTGACCCCCTAAAGTAACAACTAAATTCATTTTCTGATCAAACGAAGTACTGACTGAAGTCGAAAATCGAAGCACTTTTACTGCCCAAAACGTGATGACCGACACAAAAAAAAAATAAAAAACACACATCATGGTAAAATCAATACATTTCTCGCTCCGCTCAGAATTTATTACAATTTTTTAACATAATATTATATGGCTTATATTATATGGGTTAATATTTACTCACGTTCAATTTTATATTTTAATGTACAGTTTTTTCTAAATAAATGTGCCTACATCACAGATGTTCTGTTTTTTTTTCAATTTACTTTGGTAGGCAAACAATCATTAAATAATTAATTAAAATAATTACCTTTGTTTAAAATATTATTTTTTGCAAGAGTATTCAGTTGCTACCGATTTTAGTAGAAACATAATATCTCGAAAATTTCATACGATGATTAAAATGAAAATTATAAGAGGACTCGTCTTGGTTATATTTTTTTATACTCCATTAAATGCACTAGGTAATTGAACTATTATTATTTTAAAAAAACTATATATTTTTAATTGAGTTGTTGTTTAGTACATGAATTGAAAGTATAAAATTTGTTAAGCAAAGAAATAAATGTATTTATTTTATATTTGTGTTTTTCATTCAATCTTCAACTCTAATATATTTTCTGATAAGAAGTTGAGATTAGTTAATATTTTGAGAGATATTATGAAGTACACTTAACCTCTACTATACAACATAGTTGTTACCAACTTACTAACTTATTTTAAATATTAAAAATAATTTTATTTAACTTTATTATTTATTGTATTTTTTATGTATGTTACTAAGATTTCTCAGGCGAAAAAAATCCGGTGATTTGCACTATAGCTGGAAGTAGTTATCCAAGTACTTATGTATTCAATATAAGTGAACTCCCAGAACGTTGTAATATAATTACAGTAGGTCAATATTCGTTTGACCTTGATGATGGTACCAATCTCTTTGTAATGGAATCAGATAAAAGTAATTATAAACAACTTAAAAGCGCATATCTGAAGTTTAGTACTTATTTGTTATTTGGGAAGATACGAAGTCCTACTCATCTTATATGAGAGGTGATTCGCTTAAAAATTTAGATTCTGTTCATTAAAAAAATATAACTATTTTTTATATTCGATTATTAGCTAAAAGAAATTAAGTCACCTTTTAATTCATTTTACGATACCTAAAATTCAATATTTTTAATGTTTAAAGGTATAATAAAAACCTTAGTAAGAGCTAAAAAACCTACATACATACACATTGGATTTGAGAGTGTTGGCTGTGATTGGACCACAATATTTGATCCTTCGAATGAAATTGAATTTAAAAAGAATACATTTGATCCATTTATTAATTTCATAAGTAAATTTGATATTAGTGGTATTATCATCAACTGTCCACCAATATATTATAATGTGAGTAAAATATTAAATTTTTTTTTTATTAATTCGTTGTTTTAAAACTCAAATAATGTGAACTTAACGTTAAAAATATAAAAAGTATGATTAGTTTAATAGAACTGACTTAAGACGATATTTAGCGGATTCATCACCTAATTTTAATTTATAATATGGTTTGATTTTTTTTTTATTAATTCGTTGTTTTAAAACTCAAATAATACAATGACATATGATTTTTGCTATAAAAATTCTTAAATTTTCTACTTTAACGTAAATATTTTTTAATGAAATTAAATAGGTAAGCGGACACTTTGTACGGTGAAAATAATTTGATAAATCGATCGCGGACACTTTGTACGGTATAAATAAACCGGGAAATATAGTTTATATAAGATAAAATCAAACTGTTCAAAACTTAAGATCGCGAATCCTAATCGCTATCAGTATGAGACAAGAGTTTGGTGACACAGTACAATATAACATACAAGATGACTTAAATAATAAATAAAATAAAATAATAACAAATGCACAATTACTTGAAATAATATGCAATACTTTTAATTTTTTTTTTTAATTCATGAATAAAGTTATTATCATAACTCTAATTTTTATTTTTATTTTTATTATTATTATTTATACTTGTAAAACTGTAAACTGCATGTGTATTATTATAATTACCTGAAATACTACAAACTGTCCGCCGTATACATTTTATTACTATTTGCAATACTACAAACTGTTCGCCATAATTGACTGTTGTTACTACCTAAAATAGTACAAACTGTCCGCTGTTTTCATTTTTTTTAGATGACCGTACAAAGTGTACCTAACCTTTTTTCCCGAATGCGTTTTTCTCGATAGTTATTATTCCCGAAATAAAAAAAAGCGGGTAAGTCGTGGATGTCAATCTGCTGTACAGTATAGGATACAAGTGGGTTACTATAATGGATGGAATTAAATTTGAATCCAATGATATTATATCATTGTATACGAAAAACGATTCTGAGCGAAGACGGTTTATCTCCAGGGTATATTATTATAGATTATTAAAAATTTTCAAATCTTAGATTTAAAAAGAAAATTTTTTATGAATTTCTAGTTTGAAATAATTTGCAAATTTTCGTGATTTTMATGATTTTAACATATGTTGTCAAAATCCAAACTTTGAATGCTTGTAAAAAAAATTGTGACTACGCATTTCTTTTATTTTTCAATTGCTATTGTAAAAATATGATAGGAGCCATGTATTAAATTTTCAAATCTWAGATATAAAAGGAAAATTTTTWATGAATTTCTAGCATAAAATAATTTATGAATTTTCATGATTTTTATGTATGTTGTCAAAATTCAAACTTTAAATCCTAGTAAAAAAAAAATTGTGACATTCAGTGAAAGATTCAAGTATCTGCGGTCATTTGTTTTAGACTTATAGAGTTACACCAAAATAAGAAAATCTCTAAATGTGAAATCCAGTGAAAATCCAATGTTGTAAAAATTTAAATTTCAAATGCTCATAAAAATTTAATTTGAATTTCCGGTGGACTTTTATTTGTGATAAAAATTGACAAACTTTTAAGGAATCTTGTATTAAATTTTCAAATCTTAGATTTAAAAGGAAAATTTTTTATGAATTTCTAGCTTAAAATAATTTGTGAATTTTCGTGATTTTTACATAATATGATGTCAAAAGTCAAACTTTGAATGCTTATAAAAAAAAAATTGTGACTATGAATTTCTTTTATTTTTCAACTGCTATTGTAACAATATGTTAAGAGCCTTGTATTAAATCTTCAATATTTTCTACTCAAAAAATAAATTTTTATCGATATTAATTTTWAAAAAAACTTATAATGATCAAAAATTTCAAATGCCAATGAATAGATCAACTTAAGTCAAACATTTTTGAAAATTGCATGGTAGATAGAATATATTTATATAAACATTCGGCGAAAATTTCATGTATCTCTGGTCGTTCATTTTAAAATTACATCAAAAACCAAAATCGATTTTGTCGAAAAATGAGTGTGCGTAAAATGTCTTGTTTTTCCCTTAAATTTTAGTTTGTTTTTCTCGATTATTTAGAAAAGTATTTAGAATTTTTCAGTTTAAACTCCCCAATGTACCAACAAGATTCACTTTCTGATCGAATAAGGTACTGAAGTCAAAAATTGAAGCACTTTTACTGCCCCAAAACGAGATGACAGACCCCAAAAAAAAATATTCATGGTTTTGACGATTTTCACTGTTAGCGATTTCCTTATTTTGGTGTAACTCGAAAACAAATGACTGCAGATACTTGAAATTTTGACTGAATGTTTATATAGGTATTTTCTATATTTGAWAAAATTTTCATTTTAGGAATATTTAACTTGAAATCTCACACAGCGTGGTGGTGCTCAAGGGTGTGGCTATTGTGTACACCTGAATTATTTTTTTTAGGTACCAAAAAATTAGTTAAAAAATACTATTCACTTAAGTCTTTTCAATCTCATTGCTGGGATATAGAATTATTATCACATTTTAATAAATTTAAATTTTCCATTTTTTTTTTTTTTGTTTTTGGCATAGAGTTTACCTACTTTTATGCAAAAAAAAATTGTTTAAACAATAGTTAGGTAATAAAAAGTACCTGGACGGGTGGCACTTCTGAGTGCCTATCCATAAACACTATCTTCTGTTATTAACTTTAAATACTAATTGTATTGTAKAMATTTTAAATAAAATKTTAAGTAAAATTTAAAAAAAAAATTGTTGTTTGTGTGTATTTTATTTATGAATTTAAACAGTATAAAGGGATGGGAGGGTATAAAAATAGTGTCTATGCTGCTACATAATTCCACGCAGGCGTGCATTACATATGCCTTACACAGACACACATAATACAATCATATATTTATAAATAATAATTCATATCATTGRTATAAGCTTATAAATCAATACCAACATACCGAAGAATGGTGTAAATAATTGCATGGTATAATAATAGCTATTAGTCTAAATATTTYGAAAATTACATTGTATATGAAATATGATACCTAATAATAATAATGAAATATATTAAGTAT